TCTAATTCGGATCCAAAGTAAACTGGATTCAGGCTGCAAACAAGTTGCAGTCATTGTGCTGCAGGGCCTCTAAGACTGTCTGTATCCCAAGTATCTGGAAGCAGCTCAGCATCCTGCAGAGCAGAATGGCATCCTGCAGCGAAGAGTGGTGGCAGCAGGTCCTGCAGATCAAGCACTCCTCTCCATAGGGGCAGGGAAGACTGGATGGACCAGGGTTCTCCTGCTCCTCACTGGGGTCATTTGCAGCTACAATGTCATTGGACTGCCACTCCATTTTTGTACGTGTCGTCACCTCATCCAGCTTTTTTTTTTTTTATGAAAAAAACACAAACACATCCTCAACCCCAAATTAATATAGGGCTATGTCTTTTTATAATCCAGTGCTAAGTCTTTTTCACCTTGTCTTAAGAAAGTTCACCTTAGTGCCACCATGTCAGATCTGTTTATGGCAGGTCTGTCTGCAGCTGTCATCATTTTAGGTTGCTTTTAAGGAGCCATAGCACATTCCACATTTCCTTTCCATTATTAACCATATATGCAGTCCTTCCACTGGAAGAGCCATTTGTAAAATTTAGCCTAACATACTTTAAAGAATCTTTAGCTGTTACATTAGCATAATATAGTTGTGCAAATAGCAGCAAAGATCGGCTGGGAAAATAATACTGCTCTGGCCTTTAAATGGAGTAAATACAATTATCCAAGAATCACCATCTTAAAATTATCAACTAATTTATTGCTTAGTATAAGAAACACTGACCACAGTCAAAACTGTTAAAACATCTCCTAGATTTCATCCTGCTCTTTTGTATTAAACAAGCTACTGCTTCAAATTAAGAGTTTAATATCTTACCTGGCAAAATGGGAAGGAACAGCCATATGAAGTGTATAGTGTATCACTTTTCCATAAAACTGTTATATAATAAGTTTTGTAATATATATATATATATATATACACACTTCCCATAGCTAAAACATAATTAATATACTCTACCTGCTTGAGTTTGGCAGCTTCTATGAGCTATCTATTGAAAATTAGCTCATTGTTCTCTTTAAGAATTTTACTTAGTGGCTCAAGGTCTCCTATAAGAATATTATAATTAAGGCTTTAGCTATTGCATATCTCATTAAGAGTTTGTAAACTATCTTTTTCTTAAGTTTTGAGTCTGCCTAACTGATAGAAAAATAGAAAAAAAGGAAGCAGATTCCACTAATGGTGCTGGCATAACTGAATATTAACATGTAGAAAATGAAAAGAGTTCCAATATTCATCACTATGCACAAAACTGAAATCCAAGTGAATCAAAGATATCAACATAAAACCAACCACACTGAACTTCACAGAAGAAAAAGTCAGAAGTACACTTCAATGCACTGGCACATATCAAATACAGCCCAAGTGGTATAGATAGACATTGGAAGAAACAATTAGTAAATGAGATCTCCTAAAACTGAGAAGCTTATGTATAGCAAAGGACATAGTCAACAAGACAACAAATTAGCCTATAGAAAGGGAAAATTTATTTGCTAATCACTATTCCACTCCAAAAACATACAAAGAACTCAGGGAATTAGTCATCAAAAGAAGAAATAATCTAATAAAAATACAGGGTATAGACTTAAATCAAAAACACTCAACAGATAAAATCACAATGACTTCAAAATGGCTCAAAATCCTTAGCCATTAATTAGAGCAATGCAGTTCTAAACTCTGAGATTCCATTTTATACCTGTAAGAATAGACAACATTAAAAACACTGCTGACAATTTATGCTTAAGGAAACGTAGGATAAAGAAAAAAATCCTTCATAGCTGGTGGAAGTGCAAATTGGCACAGCCACTTTCGATACAAGTGTGGCAATTTCTCAGAAAAATAGGCAATAAACTATCTTAAGACTCAGCAATACATTTGGGCCTATACACAAAAGATATTCAACCATACCATAAGGACATGTGCTCAACTATGTACACAGAAGAATTATTTTGTCACAGCCAGAAATTGAAAACAGCCTAAATGCTCCTTTTTTTACATAAAAGATAAATGAGCTGAGAAAGAAGTCAGAGAAAGATCACCCTTTGCAAATAGTTACAAGTACCATAAAATAATTTGGAGTAACTCTATCCAAACAAGTGAAAAACACTGTATGATAAGAACTTTAAATCTCTGAAGAAAGAAACTGAGGACATTAGAAAATTTTCTTGGGAAAATTTCTATTTTCTTGGGAAAGTAGAATCAACATAACAAAAATGGCAATTTTCCTAAAAGTGATCTACAGATTCAATGCAAATGCCCATTAAAAATTACAGCAATATTCTTCACAGACCTCAAAGAACAATACTGAACTTCATAAAAAAAACAAAATCTAAAGGTAGCCTATACAATCATAAATAATCATAACAATAAAGGAACTTCTGAATGCATCACATTTTCTGACTTTAACCTGCATTACAGAACCACAGTACTGAAAACAGATTGGCAAAAAAAAACCAGATATGGAGACCAATGAAACTGATATCAATCCATACGCCTACAAAGAGCAGATTTTTGACAAAGAAGCAAAATTGTGAAATGTAAAAGAAAAGCATATCTAACCTGCTCATTTTTAATTTTAACTGTCCTTGAAGCTGCAGTTTCCCTCAGGCTACCTTTTTGTAAACTTGCCTGTCAGCTCAGCTGAAGCTGGGTCGCAAGGTAGGGAGCCAGACACATGCTCCCTCAGTCCCCCTTGGCTTGGCTTGACCAATCTGCTGTTCTAGGGGTGACCAGGCAGTGCTGGTCTCTCATTGTCCCCTCAGTCTGGGCACAGCCCATGCTTTTTACATTTAAAAGTAGCATCAGAAGTCAGTGTTAGGGGCAGTTAGTACATATACAGGTTTTTTCATGTCTTTTAGCGTAGCTGCTCTAAGACTGTAGCATGCCATCTCTTTAAACTTTGTCTCTTGCTTCCCTTTCGCCTACAAGTGTGATAGATAAAGCTGACTAGAACACCTGCATGTAGAAAGCCTCAATCTCAGTGGTAACCTAGGTGATTCTTGGGCCAAATGCTGTACTTCCTTCACTTTTCCTACCCATTTAGCAGTGATAAAAGTTGCATCTCTGCGATCATATAGCCTATAGACTTTAAATATCTCTGTCTTTGTTTTTGTTCCTCTTTAACTTTCTTTAGCTATTAAAATATATACCTGAATACTGTTTCCTTATCTCATATATATATATATATGTATAACTTATTATTTACAAATTTATATTCTCAATTTAATTATCCCACAGTAATGCTTCTTTAAATTCTTTATTTTTGAGCCTACATTACTCACTTTTCCACCTGTGGTACAATTTTCTCGCCGGTTCCTCATGTTCTCCTCCATATGTCTGATCAGTTCTTTCATGTGTTTTAGGGTTCACTAATTAGCCCCATGTTGGGCATCAAGATGTGAGGGTCCAGCCCTGACATAAAATATTTCTTGAATCAAAGTGGAGGCATGGAAATGATTGAGGCACATTTCATTCCTCAATAGCAGAAGGGAGTCTCAGGGTTCATTCAAATTCTGGAGATCAACCATGTATAATATGGCCCCTACAGTAGGTTTTCTCTCCAGTATGAATTCTTTCATGTATTTTGGATAACTGTTACATGTAAGGGCTTTACCACATTGCTTACACTCAAAGTGTTTCTTCCCAATATGAATTCTTATATGTATTATCTAATTAATATAAAGTGAAAAGCATTTACCACATTGCTTACATTCAAAGGGTATCTCTACAGTGTGAATATTTCCATACACTTGAAGAGTATTGCGATGCCTAAAAGTTTTACAACATTAGTTACATTCATTGTGATTCTCTCCACTATTTGTTCTTTTATGTATTTGGTGATAATTGTGATGTGCAAACGGTTTTCCACATTGATTACCTTCAGAGAATTTCTCTATAGTATGACTATTTCTCTATAGTATGATTCTTGAATTTGAAGGTTATAATAATCTTCATAGTGACCTGCAAAGGTTTTACCACATTTCGGTACAAGCTGCTCAAGATGGTTTCAACTTGCTTAGCTGAAATGGTGCATCTTTTTGGTGGGGAAGCTCAGCCAATCACATTCTGTTTAGGGTGTGGCCCTGAGGCCAAGAAGTAAAGATAAAAGCATCCAGATGCACTCACCCCATTCCTCTTTGTTCCCACCGCGCTTCTGGTGTTCATGGGATCCTTGGTTGTGTAAGTGTTCCTTTTCCCCAATTATTAAATCCTTTGTATTAAACTGGTCTGGTTAATTCTAACTGTCAATTGACCAAGCCCATCATTTTGGCGCTCCAACACAGGGCCCTTTGGAGCCCTTTACTGAGGGTTCCTCCACTGGTTAAATTCAGCAGATCGCCACGTCTGATCTGCATCCCTGCTACAGCCGGGAGGGAGCCAGTTTTCTGCCCGCTGCCCCGGCTGAGTCCAGTCAGCACCATAAGGGACATTGGCTCCCCTCTAGCTGGCCTGCACTCCAGCTCCCAGCTCCGCTCAGAAGCAGCCTCGGGCGGAACCAGGGCAGGGAACCTCCTACCAGAGATCAGATTCGTTCCATGCTGCCTGTGCCCCCAGAGCTGCAGCTTATCAGCCTGGCACGCCCAGCGCTGCTGCTTCCCGGCACCCACCCACTCGGCTGTAGTTAAGTAACCTAAACATCACAGTCTGTGAATTTAACCTCTGGATTTGAGTATATATATTTCATAATTTTCTTCTGGTTCTGACTCGCCTGCCATGTGAATTCAGGTGCACCCCGCCACCTACTGGCAGGCAACAGTCATTACAGGTAAGATTTCTTTTGGTTAAAAAAAATAAAATACAAGATTTCTTTTGATTGAAAATGTTGGACAATATAATCGTTCAAGGCTTTCACAGTATTTTTAATTACACTATGGCTGAGATTTTACAAGATACTTATGATATTCCTCTTGTTTGGCTATTTCTCGGGCTCACTATTTTTTTTTTTTTTGGTAACCTCTTTATGATGCAGTCTTTACAGACTGAAACCAAGATTCCTAGAAAAGAGGCTGAAAACCGAAGGAAGGGCACGACCATCTTGGATGATAAGTTTCAGTCAGTTGAGGTAATTTCAAAAACAATTCAGACGGACACCAACCTCAAGAAAGAGTTTGGAGTTCTCAAGGAAGAGACTAGATCTTTGTCTAATATGACTCGATCAAGTGAGCGAAATTTTGAGAAGGTACAGTCTAATATTAATTCATTGAAAGGGAGCTTCGCTGTTCTGGAGGAGGTAACAGCTGATTTGGCTCATAAAATCCAGTCCATGACTGTAAGTGCTGAAACATTAGCTGAGAAAATTAAAACCATTGAATGTATTAATCAGACTTTATCAAAGGGGTATGATAGATTGCCAGAATTTCCATACAAGAAGGCACAGTACATGCCATGAGAATTATGTCCAAGGATGAAATATTATCTCTAATGGACAAACTTCATACCTCAGAATCCTCAATGAAGGCTTTGGAGCATAATACTGGACAGGAGATTCAGGACTTACAGAAGGCAATGGTAAACAAATTTGAAAAGATTGAGGAAATTATAAACTCTGATGAAGAGGAGCAAAAGGTAGAAAGGCAAAATTTAACTCCGCCAGTAAGGAAAACATTTCAGGATGGCTTCCCCAGAGTTCTACCTGCCTTTCCAGTAATAACACCAGAAAAGATAACCGGTTCCAAAAACCCTAAGATCATTAAGGAATATACATGGGAGCCTGTACGTATGAATGATCTGAAAGAAATTAAACAAGCAATTGTGAATTACGAACTATATTCATCCTTTGTTACAGAGATGGTCAAAACCTGGGCTCTCAGTAATAAGGCCATGGCTCATGATTGGGGTCAATTGGCATCAGCTGTCCTAGAGAGAGGACCTCAATTGCATTTTAGATGCCTTTTCAAACAAGAGGCCAGACTTTTAGAACAGGAAAGAGCAAAAGGAACTGAGATTTCCCAAGATCAAATTCTAGGTGACAGACTTTACTCTGATCCTCAGGAACAAGCTCTTTCTGATGACCACCTCTTATCCATATGTGCCACAGCAGCTTTAAAGGCTTAGGATAGGGTTCAGGACCCAGGACAGAGTGGAATCATATATCAGGGTTAAACAGGGTCAGAGAGAACCCTTTGGTGACTTTTTACAAAGACTAACTAAGGCTGTACAAATAGGGATGCCTGACCCAGAAGCAAAACGTATAATGATTGAGTCTTTGGTTTATGAGAATGCCAACGTAGAGTGCAAAAGGACCCTGGGGCCTTTATAGATCAGATCAGCGCCCTTGGAGGAATGGGTCTTGCATACAATGAATGTTGATACATTTGACTATGACACTGAAGCATGGGTAGAAGAAGCAATTTCCAATGGTAAAAGAAGGCATCAAGATACCAAATGTTTTAATTGTGGTAAAATGGGGCATATGAAAAGGGACTGCAGGCAATTTCCAGGAATAATGCATCTTCTAGGAATAAGAGAACTCAGCCTTCAGGTTTATGTAGGATATGTGGACCAATGAATGTAGATCAACAAGATATAGACAAGGCAACCCGTTACCATCGGGAAACGCAATGGGGGGGGGGCTCTCGCAGGCCCCCATGGCAAATGTGGTCCAGTCATTTCTGGTTACTGCAGAGACCGTGCCTTGTTGGGAAAATTAGAAAGCCCCATGCCTGCTGTTAAAAGCAATAATGGCCTGAAGGATGAGTTAAATGTGGCGAATGAGTCAAGAAATCTGGTAGGACAGAGGAAACGTATATTCTGGCAGACTTCTATAAATGAACAAAGACCAAAGCTAAGAGTGTGTATGAATGGCATTTTTATTGAAGGCTTACTGGACACAGGTGCAGATGTATCTATCATTACTCCAGAATCTTGGCATCCAAATTGGCCTCTTAAGGAGGTAGATATTCAGTTCCTGGGACTTGGAACCCTATCTCGAGTAAGACAAAGCACAAGATGGGTTAAATGCATAGGACTAGAAGGGCAAATAGGAAAACTAAGGCCATATGTAGCCATATTGCAGTGAATTTATAGGGTCATGATCTATTGCAGCAATGGAATACCCAGATTAACAACATTCCTGCTGCTTCTAAAGCCTATATTTCTGAGGAAAATATTAAAAGATATTACAGATGGCTGAAACCAGGCATTCAGGCTGTACAAAAAGACAAAACAATTGATGACCCTTCAGAGGTACCAACAGCCCTGCCTCTAAAATGGCTGGCTGAGAGGCCAATATGGATCAAGCAATGGTCTTTAGCTGACGAAAAGTTGCAGGCTTTAGAACAGCTGGTACAAGAGCAATTAGATGCTTGACATATAGAAGAATCTACCAGCCTTTGGAATTCTCCTGTATTTGTTGTTAAGAAAAAATCTGGTAAATGAAGAATGGTAACATATCTTAGGGCTATCAACAAGGTTATTCAACCTATGGGGCCCTCTGCCCATAGGAATCTGGAATTCCTCTGCCCTCCCTGTTACCAAAGGGATGGCCTCTTATAGTTATTGATTTGAAAGATTGCTTCTTCACTATACCTTTGCAAGAAAGGGATAGAGAAAAGTTTGCCTTCACAGTGCCTATTTATAATAACTCTCAGCCCACAAGGAGGTACCAGTGGACCGTCCTCCCACAGGGAATGTTGAACTCTCCCACCCTGTGTCAATATTTTGTGAGCCAACCATTGGAAATTATACATAAGCAATTTCCCAAGTAAATCATTTACCACTATATGGACGATATCCTGTTGTCTGATCAAAACATAGATACCTTAGAAAGGCTGTTTGAAGAAGTAAAGATAGTTTTACCTAAATGGGGATTGCAGATTGCACCTGAGAAAATACAGAGAGAAGATTCTGTCAATTATCTAGGTTATAAAATAGGCTTACAAAAAATTAAGACACAAAAGGCTCAAATTAGGAGAGATCGGTTACGGACTCTTAATGACTTTCAAAGGTTGTTAGGAGACATCTCCAGCCTACGACCGGCTGTTGGGATAACACCTGATCTAATAATTCATTTAAACAAAACCTTGGATGGTGATAAAGACTTAAACAATCCTAGAGAATTAACAGCTGAAGCAGAAAAGGAACTGATAATGGTTGAAAAAAAATTACCGGAGGCACATGTGGATAGGGTGAATACAAAGCTTAGTTGTATTCTCGTCATATTGCCTTCCAGAATTTTTCCTACAGGAATCTTAATGCAGAGAGATGATATTATCTTAGAAGGATCTTATTACCACATAAATCAAGTACTAAATTAAAAACTTATGTGGAAAAAGTCTCTGAATTAAATATTAAAGGTAAATTGAGACTTCGTCAACTAGCAGATATAGACCCAGCAGAAAATATAGTGCCTTTCACTACTGATGAGATAAAAAAAGTTATGGGAAGACAATGAACCATGGCAAAGAGCTTGTGCTAATTTTTTGGGAGAAATTAATAACAACTATCCCAAAAGCAATAGGCTTAATTTTATAAAGAAAACTTCTTAGATTCTTCCTCAAATCATCCGTGATGCTCCGATAACCAGAGCCCGTACATTTTATACTGATGCTAATAAATCAGGGAAGGCAGGTTAAATCAGAAGAATTGAGTAAGGTGGAACAAAGTCCTTATGATTCTGTTCAGAAGGCAGAATTATATGCCATTCTTATGGTGCTAAGGGATTTTAAAGAACCTCTTAATGTAGTTACTGACTTGCAACATGCAGAAAGAGTTATCTTGCATATTGAAACTGCTGAATTTATACCTGATGATACATATCTGACTTCACTGTTTATCCAGGTATGAGAACTGATCAGGAATAGGCTCTGCCCTAGGTACATAACACACATCGGATCCCATACAGGTCTGCCAGGTCCTCTAACACAAGGTAATGCAGACATTGATCAATTGTTGATTGGTAGTGTGATGCAGGCCTCTGAATTTCATAAAAAACATCACGTCAATAGCAAAGGCTTGAAGAAAGAGTTTTCTATTACATGGCAACAAGCTAAGGAGATTATAAAGAAATGCCCTACTTGCTCTTTATATAACCAAACACCAGTGACTGCAGGGACTAATCCAAAGGGTACTCAAAGGAATGAAATCTGGCAGATGGATGTGTTCCACTTTGCAGAATTTGGCAAATTGAAATATGTACACCACACCATTGACACTTATTCAGGTTTCTAATGGGCAACTGAAAAAGCTGATTCAGTAATCACTCATTTATTACAAGTTATGGCAATCATGGATATACCTGCATAAATAAAGATGGATAATGGTCCAGCTCATGTTTCTAAGAAAATGAAATGGTTTTTTGCTTATTACAATATTAAGCATGTTACAGGTATACCATACAATCCTACAGGTCAAGCAGTCATAGAAAGATCAAATCAAACTATAAAGGATATGTTGAACAACCTTATGTTGAAAATACCCCCAGAAATAGGTTACATAATGCTTTATTAATCTTAAATTTTCTCAACGCTAATGAGAAGGGGACAACAGCCGCAGAAAGACATTGGATAATGGAAAAGTCTGCTGAATTAAATCAATCAATTTATTTCAAAGATGTGCTGACCTTGCAATGGAAGGCCAGGAGATGTGCTGTGTTGGGGAAGGGGTTTTGCTCTTGTCTCCACAGGAGAGGAAAAACTGTAAATACCATCAAAATTAATAAAGGTTCAGTTTGAAGAGGAGAAGCCTCTTGGAAGAGATAAATAACAACTCATTCACAAGGATAATAATCACCCCAATGGTAAGAAAAACATATAGGTTGGGGACAGGGTTCTCTTCTTATCTTCACAGGAAAACACTCATCTTCAAAGAATTCAAGGGACCCTGGATGTTTGAATTCTGACAGATGGAAACTATTTACAACCCAATATGGATCAGCAATAACACTGAAGAGGTCTAGTAAGTGAAATTATTATACACATATTTCTAAGTATGTATTAATGCACATTTATTTATAAATATATTTTTCAACCTCCAAGTGATGTCACTTTGTGTCAAAATGACAATTAACTAGCAAATTCCACAATTTGGTCCTTGACACACAACCAGAAAAATCTCTAAGAGATCATACCTGTCTATTCCTGGTCACCACGGCTCATGTTGAATTTAATATCAAGCACTTTCAATTCACTAAATTCCATAGATTTTAGAAATTTCATCCTTTAAGTGTTCTAGGGAGCAGATACTGGATAGCCCAGACTCCTAGGATCAATGCTGTTCCAAGTTTTCACCAGATTGCCTGGAACTAACTACAGAGACAAGACTGGCCTCAAACTCAGAGACATACCTGCCTCCGCCTCCATAGTACGTGGACTAAAGAGATGTTTCACCATACCTATCAATCTATATTTTTAATCCTTGCATGTGATTATTGTTTAATCTTTGCTGGAGGAAATATCTGCCAACTTTAGATGGACAAAGTAGGTTCAGTGATGCCTTTCTTGGTTGATACAATGGGAGTTAAATTTTTAGCTCAAATTCAACTCAAGAGTGACACTGCCTTCCTGAATAATATCCAGATTAAAGTTTAAAAGTGAATTATGAGCAGTCAATTATATGATTAGGGATTCTGTTTTCCACACATCTTAGTTGTATGACTGCTATAGCAAAGATGGTCAACCAAAGTTTTCAAAATCTGAGCTCTAGAATTTCTAACATCTATAAATTTATGAGATCACCATGCATTTTAAAATGTTCTACAAGTAACTATAGATATAAATAAATATACTATAATTCACTAGTTTTTTGGAGTACAAAGCAAATTTCCATGATTTCATCAATAAACATATCAGAATGATCATTGAATAGATTCTTCCAGAGATTTTATCTGTTCACAGCACAATAAAAGGACTTTTTGCAGGCATTGGAGTTGTCATATAGCAGAGAAAACAGTTGCAAAAACTGCCAAGACATTAGAAACTAATGTTATGGCTAGAGATGGCCAGCAGATAAAAACATATGGTGAAATCACAAGGACATCGGTTTGAAATCTGCCCTCAAGGCAGTGGGTCACAAATGTCTATAACTCTAGCTCTAATGGTGTAATACCATCTCCTGCTTTCACTAAGCACATATCTTCACACAAAGATGCAAATAAATATGAAACGTGAGGAAGCTGACATATGTATATGAATGTATACATACAAATTAGAAAAATAAAACAAAGCAGAGAAGAAATTTAACGTATAGAATGAAATGAAATTCGTCAAACCAGGGGGCTATATCTATATGTCTTGCATTTCTTAGATTACATATTTTCTCACAGAGATAACAGATATGAAGTATTATTGGCACAATCTCTGAAAATATCATGGTTTGTTCCTAGAAACTGAAACATTAACTAAAAAGCTCCATAACTATTATAATACTATAACTATTATCTCAGAGAGATATATCAGTATATAGTAAACATCACAAAACAATACACAAAATTACTCAGATTTTTTTAGAATGTCAAGATTACAATGAGGAAAGTTTGATACTCTAAAATGTGCTCCTAAAATAAGCTTTGATTCAAAGAAAAAGGGGCAATATAAGTTTTACATAGGAACCATATTGTTTTTTAAACAGTGACAATGTTTTGTCATTGTCTAATGCACAAATTCTAACTTGAATATCAGGTCATAATTTCTTAATAAACATTTTGTTTTCTGTGATTTGCTAATTTGTTTCTTAAAAGGGCATATGTGCTTATTAGTATACACACATGCAATGGTGCACATGTAGAAGCGAAAGATCAGGTATCTGTTCACTCTATCCTGCATTTCAGTTTTAGGGATCGAAGACAGTATGTCTAAATAGGCAGCAAGCACCTCGGCAACAAAACCTCAGTAAGTGAACATTCTGTCACTTCTTTGGGTTTAAAGGTATGTATTCAAATTTTAAGTGATGTAGTATGCCATACATATGGCATAATCTAAGAGTAGGTAGAAGTCAGGGAAAAACTGTGGGACTCACAAGAGTCTCTGGAGTGTTAAACTCAATACATCAGGTTTAGTAGCAAACAGCATTAACATATTGACATCTCTCTGAAATATACTTTATTTCTGAGACAGTGTTAATGAAACTGTTATCAACAAGTATTTACATTTATACTTCAGAATGAACAGGAAATAAAACTCAATGTACATGACTATCATTTTCACATGTAAATAGATATATTCTTTCAGTTGTCCTGTGTACCAATATATTTAGATGAAAATACTGTTAATTATTTTAAACTTTTATTGATACAATAGTATTACAATTCTTATCACTACACAGGTGAGATGGTACAAAGGGAAAATTCATGAGGGAAAGAAGGCCATTAACTTGTACATGATCTCAGAATCCCTAAGAGGATGGAAGAGAAAACACACCAAACACATATCTGATTTTCCTTCACAATAGCTACAAGTAACATAAAATATCTCGGAGTAACTCTAAACAAACAGTTGGAAGACTTCTATAACAAGAACTTTGAATCTTTGAAGAAATTGAAAAAGACACCAGAAAGTAGAAAGATCTCCCAAGCTCTTGGGTAGGCAGAATTAACATAATAAAAATGGCAATCTTACCAAAAGAAATCTACAGATTCAATGAAAGAACTGTACTCAACTTCATATGGAAAAGCAAAAAGGCAGTATAGCCAAAACAATCCTGTACAATAAAGGAACTTCTGGAGGCATCAGAATCCCTGACTTCAAACTCTACTACAGTACTGAAAACAGCCTGATATTGGCAGAACAGACAAGAGGACCAATGGAACCCAAGAAAAGGCCCATATATTAATCTACACACCTTCGAACACCCTACAACAATAGTATGTCTTTCCAGTATGAATTATTTCATGTCTTTTCAGATGACTGTTACTTAAAAAGGCTTCCCAACAATGCTTACATTCATAGGCTTTCTTTCCAGGATGAACTCTTTCATGTCTTTTCAGATGACTGCTACTTGTATAGGCATGACCACACTGCTTACATTCTTAGGGTTTGCCTCCAATACGAATTCTTTCATGTATCTTCAGATGACTGCTACTCGTAAAGGTTTTACCACATTGCTAACATTAATAGGAATTCTATGCAGTATGCTTTCTTTCATGTATTTTCAGGTAACTACTGCATTTAAAGATTTTATCACAATGTTTGCATTTATAATGGTTCTCTCCAGTATGAATTCTTTCATGTCTTTTCAGATGATTGTTACATGAAAAGGCTTTATAACAATGCTTACATTCATAGGGTTTCTCTCCAGTATGAGTTCTTTCATGTCTCCTCAGATGACTGGTACATAAAAAGGCTTTATCACATTGCTTACATTCATAGGGTTTCTCCCCAGTATGAATTCTTTCATGTACTTTCAGAATACTGCGTAATGCAAAGGCTTTACCACATTGCTTACATTCATACGGTTTCTCCCCTATATGTACTCTTTCATGTCTTTTCAGATGACTATTACAAAAAAAGGTTTTATAACATTGCTTACATTCATAGGGTTTCTCATCAGTATGATTTCTTTCATGTATTTTCAGATACCTGTTACATGTAAAGGCTTTACCACATTGCTTACATCCATAGGGTTTCTCTCCAGTATGATTTTGTTCATGTACTTTTAGATTGCTGTTACATGTAAAGGCTTTACCACATTGCTCACATTCATAGGGTTTCCCTCCAGTATGAGTTTTTTCATGTGTTTTCAGATTACTATTACATGTAAATGCTTTACCACATTGCTTACATTCATAGGGTTTCTCTCCAGTATGAATTCTTTCATGTGTTTTCAGATAACTGTTACATGTAAAGGCTTTACCACATTGCTGACATTCATAGGGTTTCTCTCCAGTGTGACTTCGTTCATGTTTCTTCAGATAGCTTCTACTTCTAAAGGCTTTACCACATTGCTGACATTCATAGGGTTTCTCTCCAGTGTGACTTCGTTCATGTTTCTTCAGATAGCTTCTACTTCTAAAGGCTTTACCACATTGCTCACATTCATAGGATTTCTCACCAGGATGAATTTTTTCATGCATTTTCAGATGAAAATTAAGTGTAAATGATTTGCCACATTGTTTACATTTGAAGCGTCTCTCTACAATATGAGTGCTTTCATACTTTTGAAGATGATTATGATGTCTAAAAGTTTTACCACACTGCTTATATTCAGTGTGATTCTCTCCACTTTTTGTTCTTTCAGGTATTTGGTGATAACTGTGATGTGCAAAGTCTTTGTCACACATACCTTCATAGGATTTCTGTCCTGTATGACTTGAGTCTTGAAATTGAAGATTATAATAATTTTCATAGTGACATGAAAAGGTTTTACCACACTGCTTGTATTCATAGTGATTTTCTACAGGATTACTTCTTTTGTGCCTGTGAAGAAACCTGGCATGAGTAAATTTCTTACTACAATCATTACACTGATGCATCGTTTTTTCTTTTGAAGTCTACCATATAATCAATAAAACTGATATGCTGGAGATTTACCACATGTTTTTTATTCATAGGCCTTACTTTCCATGTAAGTTCTTTATTGCAAGTGTAAACAGGAATCAGAACTATGGGTATTAGTAAATTTTTTTGATTCATTGGGTTCAACTTTAATATGGGCTGTTTTCTGTGTGCTAAGATACCTGTGGTAGTTCAAGCATTTGGTACATTATTCACATTTATAGTGTCCCTCTCCCAGATGAGTTTCTTTACATCCTTGAAGTAAACTGTAAGAATTCACACCTTTACTACCCTGACTGCATTCATAATATAATCCTATAGTATGGATCACAATACATTTACAGTGTGAATCAGGACAAACACAGCCGTTTCCACATTTCTTGTGCTCATATGGATTTACACTAGTGTGTGGTCTTTGATAAATTCCAAAAGAAGTTGGGAAACCAAATTATCACATTCAATAAGGCTAGTCATAGAGGGGATTACAGAACTTCTAAATGACTGGGAGATACAGATACTTTACTATTGTCCATATCCCTAAGGAACATGAAGTTTGTATCCGAACTGGCATATGATATGTCTATAAGTAAACAACAACAAATAAAATCTATTCACATTTCATTTATAAAAATTAGTTTTGTTCCTCATTGAGATGTACTATAGAGATTAAACTTTCAGGAGACGACAACCCTCTTGACTCTCATATTCTGAATTCTCAATATTTTTGTAAGTCACTACATGAGTGGGTATACCGGTAGCTTTAGATAGACTATTTCTGTCTTGAAATTTTTTGTATATACAGTGATGACCTGATCAACATCCAAGCAATTTGTAATACCTGGATGATATAAAACCGAACGAGTGGAAGTTGGAGACACAGCATTCAAATGACATAACAAATAATTATATGTTAATCCATTGCTTCCATTTCTTGTTACTTAGTTTACTTCTTTGAAAGCATGGATAAGCTACCTGACATTAAAGTAAATAGTGTTGTGAGAATGTAATAATCACCTAGAAACATAAAACTATGCTTATAATTTCCCTCCTTGTTTTTCATTAAAACTGAATAACACATCAACATGAAATCAGATACATATTTATATCAGTTTTCCTATGAAAATTACCATCCATGTCTTCTAAAATGCTCATAAGATTCTTCCATATTCTCATCTTCCCATTTGTAGCCTAAAATAGAACAATAGAAATTGTATGATATACTACTGGAATACAAGCAAAATAAAATACAATCCTGGGCAAACCTTAGAACCATGCCTGATTTATTTACATTCTTCCTCTTTCATGATCAAGATCACAGCACAGCATCAAAAAACCAGAAAAAATTGTCCATTTATCTTAAAAATTGAAAAAATACTCAGTATTACCTATAGCCGTGAGATTACTGTAGGTTTCTACCATCACATCTTTGTAGAGATTCTTCTGGGAAGGATCAAGCAATGTCCACTCTTCCCTAGTGAAGTTCACATGCAAATCCTCATAGGTCACTGCATCCTAAAATATTCCATAAGTGTGTATTACAGAAATTTTGGTAATGACAGCATTGGATATGTATTCTATAATGACATCGTATTCACATAAATCTGAGTGATTCCCACATAAATCTGAGTCATTCCATGAAACAGGAGTTTTAATCTAATCACTGAATCAATTCCTTCTAATTAGAAGGAATCTGAAAATAGGGTTTACCCCTGCCATTTCTGAGCCCACTGAACAAGATTTATATTTGCAAGAAAAATATCAGCACACAGATATGCATACAGAGACAGAGAGATGGAGAGAAAGTGTGTATGTGTGCTAGAAGGAGAAAAGAAGCAAAAAGATCAACAGAATTAGATTCTATGTGATAATTGTATTAATAATTGCTAACTACAAAAAAAGAATGGTTAAGCAGAGTATATTGGCTCAAGCCTTTAATTCCAGCATTCAGGAGACAGGGAAGGTGAATCATTAAGAGAGAGGTCTTCATTATATCTGTAATTAATTTCATGAAAATCAAAGTTATATAGTAAGAGCATGTCTATAACAAAAATAAAATGAACATAGAAATGAAATAGACAAAACTCAGGTCTCTCTAAAGTTTCTGCCCCAAACCCGCCTATTCACCTGCAATATTAGTGGAACTCTGAAACACAGCTTGCTCCAATAGTGAGGGGACCTAAGAAGTGAGTGAACAGTCATGAACAGTATAGCCCTCTCTAGGACCTCCCCTGTGGAAAAAAATCCCAGCCCTCCCCCAACTTCCTCGGCTTTTCTAGCCAGCAAGCAGGGAGTTTCCTGCAAGTAGGCTCCCCCAAAACTCAATCTACTGGTCCCTTCAAGTTCCTAGCCACAACCTGACACCAAGCTCATCTATCCACCTGCAACCTCAGTGGAACTCTGAAACACAGCTTACTCCACTACTGAGAAGAGTTAAGAGGTGAGTGAACAGCACACAGTGGGACACCCCACTCTCTAGGACCTATACAGTGGGCCAAAACCCCAGGCCCCTCCTGCAATTCCCTTGTCTTTTCTAGCCAGTCAGCAGGGAATTTCTTGTGGGAAGGCTCCCCCAAAATCCAACCTCATCCACTGGACACTCCAAGCTACTAGTCACACCATGCCTAAGAGCTGAGAGCTTGCTACAATAGTGAGGGGACCAAGAGAGAGAACCAAGAAAGCAAACCAGGAGAGAAGACCAAGAGAGCAGACTTATAGAGACCTCAGAAGCTTTCTGAGACAGACATTGACAGTACAGAGCAGACCAAGAAAACTCCCAAACACTCAGACAGCCGAGCAAGGATTGGATCAAGATGCAAAGACACTGCTGGCCTCATTTGAAGGAAGAGATGGGTTGGCGCCAATGCAAGAATGCCTCCAACAACCTAAAAAACAACATGGTAACACCAGAACCTAGTAGTCACACATCAGGAAGACTTGATCATCCTAACCTAGAAGAAACAGAAGAAAACGACTTTAAACATAACTTTATGAAAATAATGGAGACCTTTAAAGAGGAAATGAAAAACTCCTTTAAAAAATGGAGGAAAAAACAAACAAAAAATTGAAAAAAAAATCCCACAAAGAAAGAAAGGAAGAAAGAAAGAAAGAAAGAAAGAAAGAAAGACTGAAAGAGAGGTAATAAAAACAACACAAACCAAGGGAATTTTGGACATGGAAAATCTGGTTAAACAAACAGGAACTACAGAGACAAGTATAACCAAGAGAGTACAAGAGGTAGAAGAAAGAATCTCAGGTGCTAAAGATATTATAGAGGAAATAGAAAGAAAGAAAACATTGAAAAGGATCCTGTCCTCTGCTGTATACAAGAAACACACCTCAACCTTAAAGACAGACACTAACTCAGAGTAAAGGCTTGGGAAAAAGTTTTACAATTAAAAGGACCAAAGGAACAGATTGGGTGTAGCTATCCTAATATCTAGCTAAATAGATTTCAAACTAAAATCAATCAGGACAGATGGAGAAAGACACTTTAACTCATAACAGGAACAATCCATCATGATGAAGTCTCAATCCTGAACATCTATACCCATAATACAAGAGCATCCACATTTGTAAAAGAAAGATTATTCCTGAGTGAGGTAATCCAGACCCAAAAAGATGATTATAAATCTTCGTCCAGTGACGGATAGAGATAGAGACAGAGACCCTCATCAGAACAGACTGAGCTCCCAGGGTCCAGTTAAAGAGCAGAAGGAGGGAGAAGATGAACAAGGAAGTAAGGACACGAGAGGTTGGTCCACCCACTGACACAATGTGCCTGTTCTAATGGGAGCTCACCACATACAGCTGGATTGGGACTGAATGAGCATGTGATCAAACCAGACTCTCTGAATGTGGCGGACAATGGGGGCTGACTGAGAAGCCATTGATAAAGGCACTGGGACTTGTTTCTATTGCACGTACTGGCTTTTTGGGAACCTAGTCTATTTGGAAGCAAAGCTTCCTAGACCTGGATGTAGGGGCAAGGGCCTTGGACTTACCACATGGCAGAGTTCCCTGCCCTCTCTTAAAAAAAAATGGAGTAATTTCCTTTATCTTGTCATATGGTTTAAACTTAGAATTTAACAAAAAGACTACTCTCATGGAAATTGAAAAGTGAATTACTGAACAACCCTGGGTCAAGAAAGAAATTAAAGACTTCCTTGAATTCAATGAAAATGAAGGCACAGTGTGCTGTAGGACAATGGTTTAACCTGTAAAGATTTGTTTCTTGTATGTGTTTAGTAAAATGTTGATTTGCCAGTACCCAGGCAGGACGTAGAGACATGGCAACCACATAGGAAGTAGAGGAGGGGAACAAGAACAAAAGGAGAATCCTGGAAAGAGGAAGCATTCAGTCTGCAGTTGCCACCCAAACGCAGAGGATGCAAGATGTCACTGACTCACTGAAAAAGGTACTATGCCACATGGCTAACAGAGATAAAACTATGCCGAATATAAGTTACAAGAGTTGCCAGAGATAGTGATCTCCACTGGAACAGGTACACAGGAGTAACCTCTGAGCAAGTGAGCCATAGCCAGAGTCCGCTAAGGGTCCAGACTTGAATCTGGAATTTTCAAGGGAGTAGACCTAAGACAGGACCCCTGTGGGTCTGGGTGTGATCTAAGACCTCCCAGGAGCTAGGCCTGAGCCAGGACCTCTGCCAGTCTGGGCATGAATCCATGACATCTGAGGGAGTAGGCAAAAACCAGAGATCTCTGCAGGGCAAGGCATGAGTCTAGGACCTCAGAGGGAGTTAGACTGTGCCAGGACCTCTGTGAGTCCAGGCAATAGTCTGGGACATCAAAGGGAACAGGCAGTAACCTGGAACCACTGCATGTCTGAACATGAATCTGGGACCTCTAGGGAGTAAGCCTGAGCCAAGCCCTCTGCAGTTATGGGCACACCAGAGCCTGGGAAATCTGAGGCAGTAGACCGGAGTAAGAGACCTTTGCAGGACCAACTCAAAGCCAGGGACCTCTGCAGGAGTGGAACCAGAGCAAGATTTACAGAAACAGGTCAAATCCAGGAACCTAGACCAAAGTAAGTCTGAGACAGCAAACTCCAGGGGAGCAGAGCAGAGCACAGGAGCACTGAGCTACCTCCAGGAACACAGAGTAGCCAACAGGGTAAACAGTCAGTGGCACTGACTGTATCACAAGGAACAACCATCTGAGCTTTGGATTCAATGGCACCTAGAATATTAATCAACAGAATCTCAGACATCTCCAGTCACACCTATTAGAGGAAAAGATGAGAAGAAAAGGTGCACACATGCAACACCACAAAGAGCAACACAACACCAGTAAAACTTAAAGACTCTACACCAGCAAGGACTGAACAACCAAATATAGATGAAGCAAAAAAAAAAAAAGACCTAAAAAATAACTTCTAGAGAATTTTGAAATTCTTAGAGAGGAAATGAGAAATTCCCTTAAAGAAATAGAGAAAAAGACAAACAAAAAATTGGAAGACATCAGAAGAAAACCAAGAAATCAAACATATGAAAGAAACTATTCAAGACTAGAAAACTGAAATAGAGAAAATAAAGAAAACACAATTTGTGGGAATTACAAAAACAGAAATCATGAGAAAACCATCAGGAACCACAAATGCAATCATGAACAGCAGAATACAAGAGATGGAAGAGAGACTCTCAAGTGCTTAAGATACAATAGAGGAAATAGACTCATCAGTTAAAGAAAACATTAAATCTAACAAAAGCTTAAACCAAAATACCCAGGAAATATGGGACACCATGAAAAGGCAAAAATCTAAGAATAGGTATAGAAGAAGATGTTCAACTCAAAAGCACAGAAAATATATTTAACAAAATCATAGAAGAAAACTTTCCCTACCTAAAGAAAGATATGCCTATGAAAATACAAGAAGCTTACATAACACCAAATAGACTTGATAAAAAAAAAATTCTGCTTACCACATAATAATGAAGACACTAAACATTCAGAGTAAAGAAAGAATATTAATAGCTGTAAAAGAAAAAGGCCAACTAACATATAAAGGTAGACCTATCTGAATTAAACCTGATTTCTCATTGGAGACAATGAAAGCCAAAAGGTGGTGGTCAAGCCTTATGTAGATATTAAGAGACCAGCCCAGACTACTCTATTCAGCAAAACTTTCAATCACCATAGAAGGACAAAACAAGATATTCCATGACAAATCTAGATTTCACCAATACCTAGCCAAAAACTCAACCCTACATAAAATACTAGAAGGAAAACTCCAAAACAAGGAAGTTGGCTACACCAACAAAAACACAGACAATTGATGGTCTCATAGCAGCAAAACCCAAAGAAGGGAAAAAAGCACAAATTAACATCACCAGCAATGAAAACTAAATTAACAGGAGATAGCAATCACTGGTCATTAATATTCCTTAATGTAAATGGACTCAACTCACCTATAAAAAGGCAGAGGCTAACAGATTGGATATGAAAACAGAATCCATCCTTCCTCTGCATTCAAGAAGCACATCTCAACCTCAAAG